GAATCGATTGCCATGGACATCACCGGGCCATTCCGCAATCATAAGACCGCCGTGGACGAGATTCTCACGGTTGTCGACCGACTCACCCGACTGTGAAAATTTCGCCCTTCGAGTTCGAGCATGGCTCATCATCACATCACCGTTGGACACTACCATGCCGCGGACGGCCGAGAGCTACGACCACCTCGCCTTAATGTGACCGACTTTTGGTTGCTCTGTGTATGCGTCCCTCCCTTCTCTCTCACGTGTGATGATGATGGTATTATGAGTCAGGTCTGTCCATTGAGTCAGGTCATATGTTTGAGTCTTCCGTTGTGCTACATTGTATCATTTTATGATTGTATGGATACACATTGTCTCTCTGATGTCATCACATATGTCATTGATCTCGTTGTGCATGTCTGAGTCCTTACCATCACCTCACTGGTCCTTTGCTCCTTTCCATTGCTTACCTTGTCTATGAGCATGCATCAAGCAGCCACCTCAGCCGACATGACAGGACCGGTTCGGGTGTGGAATATGGAAGCACTGCACCCTGTTATTTTTCGGCCTGGGCAACTCTGCTGATGAGCCCGAGGGATTCAGACGTGAAGCGTCTGCTCTCCGAGCCTTTGCCAAGGTGGAGAACGTCATGGGCAAAAGAATGGAATCCTTCACCCCTAGTGACCCTTGAGCCCAAGCGTTCGAACCATTGTGACCCTTGAGCGCCCTGAACAACACTTAGGGTCTCACGGCATAGATAGATGTCACAAGCTACTGGGCACCTACATGGTAGCAACACAAAGGCACACCAACCACAAACTCCAGCCGCTGTCTACAGACTGACATCATACGGCATGAACACAAACACTTTCTATGACAGCTTTTTGGAAAGATAGCAGGAAAGGAAGCTGACGCTCACATCTATTTAAACCACCACTCCAAGTTCCCTGTCACTGTAGATTTTTCTCGGACCAACTCCCGCAGCCCTGTCACTGTAGATTTTTCTGGGACCGAGTCCCGCAGCAAAACATATATTATAGTCCATGCAGTAGAGACACATACTTTCTATGACAGCTTTTTGGAAAGATCTCTGGAAAGGAAGCTGACGCTCGCATCTATTTAACCCACCACTCAAACTGCCCTGTCACTGTAGATTTTTCTCAGACCGAGTCCTGCAGCAAAACATAGTGGATCTTAGACAAACTAAACAACAGAAAAACAACAACAACAACAACAACAACATAGGATTTGGATGCAATAGTGCTAAGAAAATTCTGGAAAGTACTTCTGTGAGTACGCCCTCAGCCAGCGCCTTCCCAGAGAAGCTGGCATTCCAAGAGAAACAAAAAAACGTAAAAACAAGAGAAACCCTTGGCTCTGGTAATATACACTCTGAAAGGTACTAGTGTGATTATGCCATCAGTGAGGCCGTTTCAATTCACCTGCCTGGCTAGCATCAGTGAGGCCGTTTCGAACCACGTTGAAAAGTCCCTGCCTGGCTACCAGGGCACTAAGAGGTAAGAAAAACAACAAAATAGATTTGGCCCTAATAGTGGTCCAATACATTCTGGAAAGTGCTAGTGCGAGTATGCCGTCAGCAAGGGCCTTCCAAGACATCATTGATCTCGTTTTTCTTTTTTTGTTTCTTCCCTTGTCTTTTGCGTGCCTGCAAATGGCACAAGGTCAAGCACTCGACTTTCAGGCTAGGCTGGGATCTGTACCTCCCTCGAAGAAAGCAACGATGTGCACTGTAAAGTGCAGGCTCGGTTGGAGTGGTGGTTTAAGTATGGCATGTCAATGCCATAACCGCCTATCCGGGAGGTCATGAGGGGGTTGGAGGGTCGGGTGCAAGACAATGGGCCGCAGTTTCATGGCAGAGGCTGGCAGTGACCGGCACTTCGTAGTGTTCGGAGTACAGACTATGTTGTGTGCATGCTAACGGAACTGTAGCTGTGCGGAGTGAAAATGGCACAGCACAGCCGCGATCCTCTGGAAAGGCCCCTTGGCTTTCCATGGTTGAATTTGTCTGATGTATACAGGGAAGTTATACTGATGGTCATGTACAGTGTAGGTGGGAGGTTCAGCCGGGTTGCTCTCCAGAGACTGTGGAGCTCGCATGTGGACATCCACATACTGTTCTTGACCAACCATCCAGACTCGGTTGGATTCTTCGTGGGGAGCAGCACAGGCTGAGAACCGGGCTCCCACCTTCTTTTTTTTTTCGTGGGGAGCAGCACAGGCTGAGAACCGGGCTCAGTGTCCCCTATGATGTGCATAGAAAGAAGCTTGAGTAATAACATGAGCATGAAACAAACGGAGAAACTCAATCCATGCTGGAAACCAGGTCCAGCATCCCATGGCTTTTGACTGTCTGGAACCAAATTGTGAGGGTCTGCCTCGTCCACCCAGATGCCAAATCCTACCCAGAAAGCTAGCAGCCCCTGTCCACTTTTTCAACCCTTGGCCTGGCCCGCATGACTCAGTGGGATTCTACCACGCAGTGATAGAAAGAGTTGATATTCCCCACCTTGTGCACCCCACCGTCATTGTCCCAAAGTGTCCACGAATTATCCGCAGAGGTACAGCGCTGAAATGATCAGGCCATACGCACTGTGAGTCCATCTTGGGCATGTAATTCTGTGGCACGGGCTGGACTTACAGTCCTCTGCAAATAAATGCAATAGGCAGGACTTTCCTCTGGGCCGACAGCACAGCCCGTTACTCGTTTATCTAACAAACGATGTCAGCAAAATCAGAAACAGTATAGGGGCCATAGGCAATTGTAACCAAGGATAAATTAATCGCATAGTACGCAGAGTGGCCTTGCTGTGTCACTATGAGATCATTTGGATCTGCAAATTGTACAGGAGGAGGAGGTTCATTCCATTCTGCAGATTGCACGGTAGGAGAGGGTTCATTCCGGTCTTGCCTGTTACCCACGCGGCCATTAAACCACCATTACTTGGGCCATACATTGGCCGCTGATGTTCCCTATCAACGCACCGCGGGCAACAGGGTTGCCAAAGAAATCGCCCGGCCGGTCCTACAAGGGCGGGCGCAGTGCTTAGCATAATGACACACCGAAAAACAAAACTAAAACAAAACAAAGGAAAAACAAAGAAAAGAAAACTTA